TAATTCAAGTTTTGTGCAAAAACGCATGATCGCTCCGGCTCGCCTGGTGCGTTCCAGCCTAGGTAATGAACTGGAAACATGCACTTTTTCAAAAAATTTGCATCTTTCTTTTTTTTCACAAAGCAAGTATTTACCGGAAAAACGACCGGACTTCAAGCAAAAAACCGGTAATCGTGCACCTAGATGTCTGTGCGGCTCTATAATGCACCACTTTCATCCCAGCTGACGCTTTCCTCCTGCATGCCGGAGATGATCAAAGGACGCCAATATGACCCAAGTGTTAGGTTACGGCGTAAAGATCATTCCTGCTAACAGCGATCTGCGAGTTTAGTGCAAAAACGCATGGTCGTACTGGAGAGCCTGTGCATTCCAGCCTGGATTTAAAGAAATGTTCCACGCCTAAATGCGAACAAAAAGAATTTAAATTTCTAGCTGCTCAGTACGCCTAGGTTCGATGAACTACCGATCATTTAATAAATATGCGATGATTATGCGTGCTGGAGGTTAAGGTTTATGTGGTCTCTATTGCAAAACTACCGCCACAGCCGATTTCCTTTTCCCCTTGCATTCAAAAAAGCCAGAATATGTTAGACTGCCGAAAGCAGCAATCATTCATGTTGTTGACGGCCTGACTACTTTATGTTTAGTGCCAAAACGCAAGATCGCATTAGCAAGTTTATGCGTTGCTACCCGAGTTTGGTCTTGTGCGTCATCTCTGAACGCGAATTACCAACCTTGGCATTTTGACTTTTATCGTGCCAGACTGAATCAACTGGGGAGATATGAATTTGTCAATAATTCTTTTTATTTTATGCGACAATGCACAGAGCAGCGCTGATAGGGAAAAGTCCAAGGTCAAGTGTCAAAATTGCTCCTGTTTTCGTTTTCTGTAAGAGGGTGAAAGTACCCAAAGTGAAGTGAGTGGTGAGAATTAAGAAAAGTAGCTGCTTGCTTTGCACAACTGCTTTTTTCAGAGGCTACTTAGAGGGAAACTGATAGCCATATTAAACTGCCAAAATATTGAAATAAAACTGCAGAAAGAGTCGAAAATTGCAGCCCACAGCTTTTCGTTAATTACCACAAATGCAAAACAACTGAAGTCATTTTGGTTTTTTGAAGGAGCTTACAACGAAGGAGTCTATGTTGTAAAATTTAAACCATACTGGATCGGTGTTCGTAAGATTAACAACAAATGGATGATACCCGTACAGGACAAATCTCCTGAATACATTCCGGTCACTTACACGAATTGGGGACCATCACAACCAGATGGCTGCTGTTCGTATGATATTACCTGTGTTGTGGTGAATCACTGGGACGAACGAGGGGAATGGGATGATGAAGGCTGCAACAGTCATGTGGAATACGCTGGCACTGTTTGCCAGAAACAATCGTTGTGACCCATCTGTGAATGTTTTTGTCAACGGGGTCTCTTATGACTGTGTATTTGGGAAGTTAATAGTTTTGAAGTAAGTATCTTCAAAAATTAGTGGTCTGTTAATGCACACGTTCACGGACTGAAATAAATACTGAGCATCTTGTGTGTTTTGCAAATCTGCCACCTGCAATCACTGGCGGATCCAATGGTGGGAGCGATGGGTAACAGTGTTAAAACTGAAGAAATTCTCTTCAGCAGACCCTATCGCTCCCTTCACCCCCTCCGCTCCCCTCCTCTCCTTCAATCGGTGCCGGTAGAACGGACGACAGAGGACGCAGAGTGGAAAGCGGGGTGGGAGGGGGAAGAGATAGTCGGGAATGCGACATACTCACAATCGGGGAGGGGTGGTGGAGTTTCCGGTGTATGGAGAACTCATGATGCAACATCCATCATCCTAACCGTCGCCATTTTCCGCTTAATGCAAGAAAACGACAATGCACAGCCAACATGTATCTGCGTGTTAAACTGTAAGGCAGGAACTGTTCATGCTGTTTACCATCTGACTGCTGCAGGTTTAGCGAAAAAACGCATATTCACACCGGCAAGCTCGGTATGTCGCATTCCGGGTTTTGAAACTAATTCATGAGAGACCAGAAAGCTTCTGAACAGCAGCAGCGACATTTGACGAGTTAAGCAACCATTTCTAACAGGGATGTTTCAGTAATGTTATTGGGTTGTACTTTCACGCGGTGCTCTGCTGTGTTAGATCTATCCGTTTTAAACTGCGTGCTTCCACTTCCTATTTGACCTTCCTGCACAGCTAAATTTTCGTTTGTCGCCTCAGTAGTAATTTTTGTGAATGGTACGCGAACTGAGCATCATCCTTGCCTATCAAATTTTGTCGTTTTCCTGTGCTCTAGTCACTTATCGGACAGAAAGCTTAACTGTTTATATGGATACAAAGAGGTACACTTAGTTATTTATCCTGAAGGATTTACAAAAAGGCATAGCTTTGTTCCCAGACAAAGATGGGCCTTTCGTTTCAGGAATCCGACGGCGCAGTATTATCTCATTTATGTCAGTCATTTCTTCAAAGAACTGAACAGTCATGTTTTTGCGACATTGCTAGAATTCTATGGAAACGGATCGAGTGCTTT